CACTACATCCTTGTAAAGGGAACAATACAAGAGGAAGAAATGATAATCATAAATATATATGCATCAAACACTAATACACCAAACTATACGAAACAAATATTATTAGTTATGAAAAATGAAATAAGCACTAATACAATTGTAGTGGGGGACCTCAAGGCTCCACTGACAAAAACAGACAGATCATCTAGACAAAAAAACCAACAAATGAAATAACAGAACTGAACCAGGTCTTAGAACAAAGGTACTTAGTAGATGTCTACAGGGTGGTCCACCCCACAAAATCAGAATATACATTCTTTTTGGCTACACACAGTTCATTCTATAAATAGACCACATGCTAGCTCACAGAACATGCTTAAATAAATGCAAAGGAATTGAAGTTATAACTTGTATATTATCAGACCATAGTGCAATTAAACTGGAGATCAATAGCCTAAGAAACTTCAAGAACTTCACAAATATGGAAATTGAATAACACCCTGCTGAACAACCATTGGGTCACAGAGGAAATTAAGAAAGAAATTAGATAGCTTCTACAATTAAATGATAATGCCAGTACAATATACAGGAATCTGTGGGACACAGTGAAAGCAGTTCTATGAGGGAAATTCAGGGCACTAAATGCCCATACTAGGAAAATAGAGAGAGCTCAAATAAATAACCTAATCCTTAACGTCAAGCTCCTAGAAAAAGAGCAGGATAAACTAAAAGCTCATAGAAGGGATGAAATTATAAAGATCAGAGCAAAAATTAATGCAATGGAGATTAAGAGAATGATACAAAAAATCAATGAATCAAAGAATTGGTTTTTCAAAAGAAATAAAATCAATAAACCCTTAGCCAACCTTACTGTAAAAGGAAAGAAAAGGCTCAAATTCATGCAATTAGGAATTTAAAAAGTGAAGTCATAACAAATCCAGCAGAAATGTGAAGGATCATCACTACCTACTTCAAAAACCTGTACTCTAATAAAATGGAAAACAAAGAAGAAATGGACAGATTCCTAGATACATATAAGCTTCCAAAGTTGAACAAAGAAGGTATAAAAAGTCTAAATGACTCAATTACATGAAGTGAAATTAAAAATGTAATTAAAACATTACCAACAGGGCCTGGGATTTAGCTCAGTGGTTCTGGAGCCTGCTTTGCAAGCACAGGAACCTGAGTTTGATTCCTGATACAAAAAGAAAAAAAAAAATACCAACAAAGAAAAGCCCAGGTCCTGATGGCATCACTGCTGAATTCTACAAGACATTTACAGAAGAACTATTGCCACTACTCTTTAAACTCTTCAGTTAAATTGAAAGGGAAGAAATACTTCCAAATTCATTCCTGGAAGCAAGTATTACTTTGATTCCAAAACCAGGGAAAGACCCAACCACAAAACAGAACTACAGGCCAATCTCCCTAATGAACACAGATGCAAAAATCCTCAATAAGACACTATCAAACAGAATACAGAAGATCATCAAGATCATAAACAATGACCAAGTTGGATTTATCCCAGGGATAAAATGATGGTTCAATATAGGTAAATCAATCAATGTAATACACTATATTAACAGAGTCAAGGAGAAAAACCATATGACCATCTCAATAGATGAAAAAAAAAGGATTCAACAAAATTTGACACCCATTCATGATAAAACTCTGCAGAAAATTGAAATAGATGTTCTTTATCTCAACCTGATAAAGTCTATATGAAAAACCAATAGCCAATATCATATTAAATGGTCAAAAACAGAAAACCTTCACACTGATATCAGGAACAAGACAAGGATGTCCACTACCACTGCTCCTGTTTAATATAGTTCTTGAAATATTAGCCACAGCAATTAGACAAGAGAAAGAAAGATAGGAAAGGAAGAAGTTAAACTGTGATTATTTGCTGGTGATATTATACTCTACATAGAAGATCCAAAAAACTCTGCCAAAAGACTTCTAGACTTAATTGACAGATTCCATAGAGTAGCTGGATACAAAGTCAACACTCAAACATCAATGGCCTTCTTGTACGCAAATAAAAGACTCACTAAGAGAGAAATTAGGGAAACAATTTCTTTCACAACAACACTCAAAAAAATGAAATATCTAGGAATCAACCTAATGAAGGAGACAAAAAAAAAACCTCTACACTGAAAATTATAGCACTCTGAAAAAAGAGATAGAAGAGGATATAAAAATATGGAAAGGGGCCGGGGATTTAGCTCAGTGGTTCCACTGCCTGACTTGCCAGCGCAAGGACCCAAGTTTGATCCCTGGTACCAAAAAAAAAAAAAAAAGTATGCAGAAAGACATCCTTTGCTCCTTGATAGGAAGAACCAATACAGTGAAAATGGCCATACTACCAAAACTGCTATACAGGTTCAATGCAATTCCAATTGAAATCCCAACAGTATATTTCACAGAACTTGAGAAAACAAAAAATACAAAAAAATACAAAAATTCACTTGGAACAAGAAGAGACCTAGAATAGCAAAAGCAATTCTAGGCAACAGAGACATGGCAAGGGATAGCACATGTCCCAACTTGAAACTATACTGACAAGCCACTGTGATAAAAGCAGCATGGTACTGGCAAAGAAACAGACCTGAGGATCAGTGGAATAGATTAGAAGATGCAGAAACAATACCAGACATACTCAGCTACCTCATCTTTGGCAAAGGAGTCAACCATCCTCACTGGAGGTACAATAGCCTCTTTAATAAGTGGTGTTGGAAAAACTGGCTTTCAACTTGCCAAAGCTTAAAAGTAGATCCCTCTCTCACCACGCATTAAACTAAAATCTAAGTGGATTAAGGATCTAAATATCAAAAAAGAAACACTAAACTTACTGGAAAGTAAATTACATAGAACTATCAAAGATATTGACATAGGAGAATACATTATGAACAAATCTTCAGCATCACAAGAATTTGCACAAATAATCAACAACTGGGATCTCATTGTATTAAAAAGGTTTTGCAGTGCAAGAAAAACCACCAACAGAGCTAAGAGACAATGTGAGGAAAATTTTTACCAGCTGTTCGTCAGACAAAGGTCTACTACCTAGAACATATAGAGAACTAAAAAAAAATTAGAGCCCCCAAATACAAAGACCCTATTCAAAAATGCGCATCTGAAATGAACAGACATATCTCAGACAAAGAAATAAAAGCAGCAAATAAACATATGAAAAAATGTTCAAGTGATTCCACCTCACTCCAGAAAGAGTGGCTACTATCAAGAAATCAACCAATAACAAATACTGGTGGGGCTGTGAGGAGAAAGGAACCCTTCTCCATTGTTGGTGGGAGTGCAGACTAGTGAAACCACTGAGGAAATCAATATGGAGACACTTCACAGAACTAGGATTAGAGGTCCCATTTGACCCAGCTATACCTCTGCTGGGTATCTTTCCAAAAGAATTAAAAGAATCACACCGCATTTACATATGTGCACTCAAATTTATTACAACGATAGTTTGTAATAGCTAAAACTTAGAAACGACCCAAATGCCCATCAACTGGAGACTGGATAGAGAAGATGTGGTTTTTCTATAAAATGGAGTACTACTCAGCCATAAAGAATGAGACACTAGAGACATTTATAACTAAATGGATATGCATTGAAGTTATTCTCTTAAGTGAAATGAATAGGACCCACAAGTAAATACCAAACAGTTTCGCTGGTGTCAAAAACTAAAAGTGCAAATAAGGTTCAAATGGTGTAATCGATAATTTGAAAGGAAGAGGATAGTGTGGAAGGGGAGGAGAAAGGAAATAAGGGACAAGAAAAAATGTAAAAAAAAGGAAAAAAATGGAAACCAAATCTTTGTAAATAGGGAAAAGTGAAGTGGGTGAAGAAGGTAGGGCAGGGGAATGGGGAAAAAATAAAAACCAAGGCATATCATGTAAAGGTACAAGATCCCAATGATAAATGTACTGTATTGTTGTTTTAAATGCACCAATAAAGTTAAAGGGGGAAAAAAGAAAAACATTTAACTCAATTCTTTTGTTTAGACTATGCCTATGTGAGAATTTAGAAATTAATTAACTAAAAGAATATGCACATTTGGATACCTTAACATCATGGTACTGCACACATCCAACTCAACAGTTTCACTTTTTTCTTTTTATTTAGCTAACATACCTTATCTTTTCAACTAGTGATTGGCCTTTTAATTCTTCATTGTAGATTTATGAAGCAAGTTGGGTGTTTTAAAGATAAAGTTCAAATATTTATATTTCAGTAACATTTATGGAGACATAAATGTTAAATTCAAGAAAAGGAAAATGTACTTAGGGGAGCTGCTGAAAATGAATATTATAGTATGAAATGACCCCTTTTCTTTTATACTTCCATATTCTACCTACATGGTACTTTTGACACAGGGTTTAAAATGCTGGTATTCTGGCCAAATGAACATTTTGGAAGATTTTAAATGCATAAGTTGAATAGCTAAATAATCTGTTTGGAATTTCAAACTTTTAATGAAAATACAGACATAATCAGATATATCAGATTTGTTTGATGCTATTAAATCCTGCTTCGCCATTTAAATGTAAAGAGCAGATACTGGGGAGTTTCTGTTGTATTATTGTTGGGTACTCCCCCCGCCAAATAAAACTCTTCTTGTGTAATCACAAATTCTGGTTCACTGGCCAACTTTTAAAAATCATTTGAATGCCTCTTTTGTTCTGTTATTCCCTATACTGCCTCTTTATATGACATAACAACCTTTAAATTGTAGATTCTATAGAAATCTTAAGTTTGTTAAGAATAGAGAAATTTCCAAGAGCTGCTATTACGACCTCCTGATCCTGCTGAGTACCTTTATCACCACTTACTTCTTCAGTTTCAGTAAAAACAGAAATTGTACCCATCATCTTGAATTTGAAGAGAAATAGTCACTTTAGATACCAGCTATAACTTATTTGACTTTTTAAAAATTTTATTTGGCTCTTTACAAGTGTTCAAAGGTAAGGATCTAGGCTTTCCATTATTTTTCATTTTCTTACCAGAATTGAAACTTGCAGTTTCCTCAAGTTCCTGATCTTTTTCATAGTTAATCACTAGTTTATGTGGCTCCAACATTTGTCCTGGGATGTAAACCAAGTTGTCACCTCCACTGTCCTCTAATACAGAAGGTGAGTCTCTCACAGAATTTAATTTCTGGCTAATGAGGCTGTTCATGTCTGCAGAAACCTTGTGTATCTCAGCAGTGAATCTAAAAGAAAGAAAAAAGAAAGTCTTAGATTCTGAGTAAACTCTGAGATTACAAATAAAACATCCCAACAATTTAACATAGCTCTTTAATTATTTATTAAAAGAAAAGTAATAGGATGGTAAAACGTAAGTTCATTTCAATCAGATAATTCATAAATATATGTATTATACATATTATATTTGGCTGAATATTGGCTTTACAGAATAATGGGTTTCACTTTGGCTTACATCATTTTGACATACATGTACATGCATGTAACATACTCTGGTCATTTTCCTCCTCCCACATTACCTCTCCTCTCCCTCCCTCCTCTCTTCCCCAAGCCCTTTCCTTTTCTCTAATAGTTTCTCTTCTATTTTCATGTCATCTCTTTTTCTCCCCTAGACTACACATGAGAGAAAATGTGATATTTGTCTTTCTGAGTCTGGTTTATTTTGTTCACCTGATGATCTCCAATTCTATTCACTTTTCTGCAAATGACATGATTTCATTCTTTTCTATGGCTGAATAATATTCCATTGTGTATTCTCAAAGACTAAAAATATCTCTACCACTTGATCCAGCTATACTACTTCTCGGTATATACCTAAAAAGATGAGAGTCAGCATGCAACAGAGATACATGCATACCCACGCTTATTGCTACACGAGTAACAAAAGCTATGGCACAGAAGCAACCTACATGCCTGTCAACTGATGAGAAAACATGCAGTACACATATAACTTTCTTTAAATCCTTGATAAAAATTGAATTTATCATTCCTTTTCCCATATCTACTTATAGCCTATGAAGTACTAGTTCAAAATAAGCCCAATCTGATCTGCATAGAGTTGTAGATAAGTGGCAAGAAACTCAGATTACTTGGTACAACCTTTTAATGTCTCATATTGGTACCAATTACTATAGTAAATAGTTGTTTAATTTACAAAGCACTGCTCTGAAAAAAGTATATAAAAGATATCACTTGATATAGCTCCTCTTAAAATGGCACTGATATTTATATTTTTGGTAGTTTAAGAGTTGTCTGTGATAATTTGAGAATTCTGTTTTTATTTAGATCATAATAGAAAACATATTCAATATAAATTTATTCTTCATTGTGTAATTTTATGTAATTTCAATGTTTATGTTTGCATTTTGTTTGAGACTGGTTGTTGGCACCCAGAATACTACTTTAACCATTGCTAGTTAATGAGGAAAGGAAAAAAAAATCAGATGCACAACATGCACGATTAGCTCACCCAAAGTAAAAGCCAAGTGACATCACAACCAATCCATGCTATGGGTGATTTTGCAGTAGTGCAGTTAATGACAAGTGGTAAGAAATTAAGTCATCACACAACAGAGGAGGCCAGCTGAATGCAGATGTACCTCTGAAAAATGCACCACTATTTACTATTTATCAAGATATACCATATGCTTGTGGCTTTCAGGAATTCCATTTTGGCAAAGACGAATCATACATTACATGAAATTAGTGCTGAAAATATTTGTCTTGTTGAGTTGGTTTGAATTTGATGATGTATAAATTTGTTTTGGTGTAATAGTTGCATAAGAAATATCAGCATATGGTATTTCCAGATGGATTTATGTTTGTGTATTTGTAAATTACATAATAGAACTGGAAATGTAGCTTAGTGGGCAAGCTCCTGCCTAGCATTCACAAAGCCCTGGGTTTGATCCCAGCAGTGCAAAAATAACGCAAACCAACAAAATCATAGTATTCTTCCTGCAGTCCTGTGAGCACCTTTCAATGGGTTGATGTTATTCAAGATAGGAAAACTCTGTTCCACATGACATTCGTGCCATATTGTCCTTCAGAAGGTATTGGCTGCTGGATATTTCCCTGCTAAAGTCCCAAGGAAATGAAATCTGATATTAGTGTTACATATACTCTCATGAATTCTGGGAAACCGTGCCATTTTATTTCTGGATATATCTAAGAGTTTTGACAACTTATTTTACTTAATTACAATCCAAGAAGAGGGAGTAATTATGTGTCTGAATCTGGGCTTTCACAAGTCTCAGTCAGGGATCCAAGCTCAGGGAAGTACCAAGATGAGCCACTCTCACCCTATTTAAGGTTCAAAACACAGGTTAATTATTCCTATTTTTATTTAGATGCAATACCATACTAAGAAAAATTATTGCACATGTGCAATTTTATTGTGAGGACCTGAATGAGATGTTTTAGGGATAGAACAATCATATGCAGATCCAGCCTTCAGTGAGGACACAGGGGTAAACTGTCATCATGCATTAGCAGAGGCGTAAAATGGTGTAGAAGAGGAAGGCGGATTTTGCCTTGAAATAGAGATGAGTTTCAAAGAAGACACAGCTTCAACATGGGCCAGGAAAGGCAGGTAGGGTTTCATTAGAAGGAACAGGGTCATCACAGGCAGCATAGTAGAGGGGTGTGTGTATCTGTGTGTGTGTGCCTGTGTGTACACAGTTCACACAAGGCAGGCAATATTGCAGCCAGAACCGAGAGTCTCAGGATGGGGGAAAATAGCAAGTGAGGTTGAGGTGAAATAAGGACAAAGTGTGGGCTCTATTCTAGGGAAATTTCAGTGCAGGAATTCCTGAGGAAACCACAAATTTAAAGGCAATACTGTAATAAAGCCCATGATGTTATAAAAACATCAAACCAGAAAGCATGCTTGACATGTAACTGTTGCTACAGAAAATGGGATACATGAGGAGCCTTTACTTCGGAGAGCCTGTTAGCCTCCTCAGCCTAATAACTTTCCATGGGCCAGTTCTGCACCCATCTCTCAGTTAGCAGTCACTTGTAAATATAACAGCTGCCCGACTTACTGGAGACCACTGGTCTGATCGTCTTCTCCTAAACTGATGAGCCTGCAGGCATCCTCCAGCATGGGTGGTGGGTACTGATTGAATCCTCCTATGGAGAGAATAAAGTTAGAGTTAGATTTTAAACTAGAAACTGTTCGCTAAGTAAGAGAATCCCAACAGATATTCTCTTAAAGCAATAAGCATTACTGACATGTTTCAACATGATCTGGACACAGTGAAAACAGAAAATACTAGCAACTAGAAAGAGTACTCATAACTTGATTTCAGAGTGTTTTAGCAGCCAAAGAATTACATGCCCGGGCTCATAAAAACCTAACAGACATTTGATTCAGATACTCTAAAGCTTTTATACTCAGATTTATGTTATTGAATTAAAATAGAAAATATAACATTTTATTATATGATTCTATTTCTGTACTTCTGCATCAATTAACTGGATTTCCTGTGAGGAAAAGAACCACAGAAATGATTTTTAGCTTACTGGTCTAAATGATTTTTTATGCTTTCCCTGATGTTGTTCTGAAAAGTTGTAGAACACTGAGACACTTATAACTTTCCCCTCACTCAGGAAAATAAATTGCTTTTAATGAAAGGAAATCTTTGATCATTGAATGATACAAGACTCCAGGAAAATATCTCAGTGAATTTTGTAATTTTACAGTAATTACTTTTTTATGATTATAAGATGAGTGGTTTTTCTTTCTTTGGCTAAAGTGAGAACTTGTTTTTCTGATCAATTGTACCTGCACTTGTGGTTGGTCGGGCAAGAATTCCAATCCTGTTGTAATTGCCTGTGTGTATGGAACAACAAATATGCCAGCACAAAAGGTATTGAATTCAGGCCTACGCTTTGGAGGAAAATCCAAGAATTTAAAGTAGAGCAGTAGTTATAGCTCCCACAAATGAAGTGATTCTAGGAAGACAGCAAGTTATAAGTGTTTAACAATGTTGCTCAGGTGGAAGGAAGTCAAGAGTAAGTTAGCTCTGAATAATTGGAAAGCTACTGAAGAACTCAGAATGAATTATTTTATAATCTTCTCAGAATGTCGCATTGCCATCTATCTTGGTGGCACAATGAATAATATTTCATAGAAAAGATGGCTATCTAAGACTTTGAGTCAAGAAGTAAAAATTCTAAAATGTGGAAAGGAGGAATAAAAATGAAAACAAAGCTTGTTGAAGGGAGGGTAGAGGGTTGGGAGAAGAAGAGGAATCAAGATATACCATGTACAGGTACAAATTCCCTGTGATCAATGTGATCACTATGTATATTTAAATTGTACCAATAAAATTTAATAAATGTTTTAAAGTAAAAATTCTGAATTTTGAGTTTTTATTCTCACAAGAGTCAAATTCTGAATAAGAAGTTTTAGGAATGCCATAACCAGATTACTTCATATATATTTCCTTTTTATGATACATAAGATTAATATACATCTAAATAACTTTTAATTATTGTAAAATAAAAAACCCTAATAGAAGAGTTGATGACAAAATTTAATTGGAAGAACTTTTTCTTCCTTTTTACATGATACAACCAAGGACATCTTAGGTTTAAGAAAATATAGCAGTCCCAAGAAGGCAGTCATTGAATGGATTCTACAACTGAATCTCAGTTACAAGAGAGAATTGGAGCCCTCCTTGCAGGGAATAGTATATTGTTAAGTTCTTGTCACTGCAAGGGTTCTGGGACATCTCTTGACTATCAGAGCAGTGTAACTGTACCAGTGGAATTTATACTTAACCAAAGAGATTTCCCGAAACAATATGTCCAGCTCCATTCTTGGGATACTCAAGAGGACGGAGCTATGGTTTCAATGACTGTTCCTCAAAGGCCTATAGGTTGAAGGATTGGTTTCCACGGTGGGGCTATCAGGAGGTACTATGGATCTTTAGGAGGTGGCCTAGTGGGAGGTCCTTAGGTTACTGGGGGTTTGCTCTTGAATGAGGATTGTAAGACCCTTGTCCCTGTTTCTCTTGCTTCCAGACTTTTGATGTAAGCAAGATTGCTCTCCCCACACTCCTGCCATAATGCGTTAACCTCACCAGAGGGCCAAATCAACAAGGCTACCTGACCTTGGACTGGAAGCTCTAGAACTATGATCCAAAAGAAATCTTTTGTCTTTATGAGTTAATTATCTCAGGTATTCATTATAGTAATGGGGAACAGACAATACAAAGAATTCCTCAATCACAATATCACCAACATTTGGGGCTACGTTATTTTTTGTTGGGGTGGGGGTCAGTCCTGTGAACTGCAGCAACCCCAGCCTGTACTTGTTTGATGCTAGTAGGACTCCCAAGCTGTGATAACCAAAAGTTTTCTTCAGAAATCTACAAATATCCCTGGAGACAAAATCAGCCCACAACCCCAGAGAGACCTATTTCTCCAGAAGAGTGTTTTCTCAAAACATTTGTGGTAGAAGACAGGATATTTTATTGAGAATTCTAGCAGACTGATACTCTTGCTCTGTAGCCATTCCAATGAGACAGAATCTACTGATCATACACTTGTATGCTGCAGCAATCAGTGAAAGTTTTTAGATGCTTACTCTGAATTTCTGTATTTTTCCTTCACAGATCAATTTGTAGCTGGTATTTATGCATTGAGGAACACTTTGTAGTGCATTGGCCAAGGGCCATGCTCCTCAAAGTGTGGTCCATGAGCCAGCAGCGCTAGCATCAGTTGAGCGCCTGTGATGCAGAATCTCAGGCTCCACCTTACACAAATGGAATCAGAATCTGTATGTTGTGTTAGGAACAGCACACGACCATATCATCTGTGCATCTTCACACAGGTCTCCGGGTGTACCAAAGTTGGAAATAACTCTGGCATAGCTGTAAAACTTTTATCAAAATGCTTACACTAGAGGCCATCTCAGGGCTGCTAGAACTCCTTCAGGCTCAACAAACATGACTAGGGAGACCTTCCGTCACTTTGTACTTCTCACTTCTCAGATAGAGGTCAAAAGATACTTTGTTATGGAAAAGGCTCGCCATTTTATAAATGGGGTATAAACAGGATATGTCCCATCTCTGCCCCTCTCATAATCTAATTCATATATATTATCTGTAGACACAAAACACCATATTAGGTTTTCAATTCTATTAATAAACACTAGTTTACTCAAATAAAAACAATGACTTACTTCTGACTGAGTACACAAATGGCTTTAGAAACTTCACAACATAATTCAGATCTGGCTTGTGCACTCTCCCAAGCTGTACCAGATGGTGATCAAGTGGGTAACTGGCTAACTCCTCCATGTCATCAGAGCCCAAGGAAATCACAAATATGACATAACCTTCACACTTGGCCCTCAAAGCCACCTTCTTCACAAATTCCTTTGTCTCATGATTTTCTCCAGCTGAGACCACCAAGATGACTTTGTATTTTCTTAGGTTAGGTGTTCCTGGGAAGAGATGTTCCATAGCCCATAGCAGGCCATGACCAACAGTGGCATCTCCATTAAGCTGGTGGAGGGAAGTCTGGATGTGCCTCCTCATTAGTACTTGGCTGTCGTAAGTTGTAAACTCAAATTCTGTCTTCACTGTACCCTTCTTTCTCCTTGAATCATCCCGATAATAGCTCAACAAGGCAAGCCTATCACCAGACTCCGAGACTGCAGGGTTTGAAGCAATGTCAAAGTTGTCGATCACCGAAATCAAAAAGTTTTTCATAGCCTTAAAATCACCTTTTGCTACATTTCGAGAATTGTCCAAAAGGAAGGCTACATCCATGTATGAATTTTCAGGTAAAATAATCTCTTTAGCACAAGTATTTAGAAAACATTTATCTGAAAACACAAAGAGATGCATTTTGGTTCAATGTTGGCATGAGACTTGTGTGGGATCTGTTTCAAGTGATTCAGTAACTAATTATCAAGAATTAATCATCTGATCAATACTTCTTCAATTTTACATCACTTAAATTAATGAGGCATTGTCAAAGTCCTAATATTCCTGTGGCCAACAGTGGACAATTTGGGGTCTGTACTGAAAGCAGAGTTAGGTAGCAAGCATACCTAAAATCCAAACTCATTTAGAAAATATTTTCAATGTTTTAGATGTTTTTTGATACAAATTATCATATTGTCCCTAGGAAAGCCTCCATAGTTGGGATAGATTTCTAAGCCAATTTTCATTTCTGTGCAAACTCCAAACATTAGAGAGATTGAAATGATGACATCTAGTGTTTTCTAAAACTGTAAAATTGGAAATAGAACCCACAATAAAAAATTTAAATCTCTGAAAAAGCCACTTTGAATAATTCCCCCAGAAGGTATTAGAGCCTTCAGTACAGTAAACCCTACCCATAGGTCTTACCATAACAAAGTGTACAGCGTCGCAGTCTTTCTAAATGTTCATGTTCCCTATATGAAGGCATTGGAATCACCTGAAATGTTCCAGTGTTGTCAAACTGCAAGGAAAGAGAAGTAAATGCCTGTTTGTCCATTTTTTTTTTTTTACCGTTAAGCTACAATGCACTCACTATAAGGATTATGTTGAATAACATCTAAAATTACACCAAATAGGTACTAATAAATACTGATATAATTAAATGTATGTACTATACACTTTAGTATATATGTGTGTGTATGTGTGTGTGTATACTGGTGTATATATACTATATATCAACTATGCAGATGATACACACAGACACACACACACACACACACACATACACACACACACACAGTAGTACCTTGGGTGACGAACTTAATTTGTTTTACAATATTGGGGAACATGGTTGTGTTTGTGTTGGGAAGATGGCCAAGACTGTGTTTGCCACCCAATATGGAGTTTGTGAAAGAAAGCAAAATTTTGTCAAACACTTTTGTTTGAGAACCAAATTGTTTGTTAACAGAAGCATTCATGAACCAAAATACTAATACTGTATATGCTAAAGTTATGTTAGTTAAGAATGTTGGATATAAGAAAAGTGAGTAATCATAGACAATTGTAAATAGAATGATAGAATTTTTATTAACTGAGATGGAGACGACTGGATACAGAACTAGTTTTGGAGAGAAACACAAATTTTCATTTTGAACCTGATAAATCTGAAATACTTAGTAGAAATGTGAGTGGAAATTACAGTAGGATGTTACATATGTGAATCTAGAGTTCAGGGACACAGTATGCATGAGAGAGATGTATTTCCATCATTGAGGCTACTTAAAGCCAAGAGTGTAGATGAATGCTTCTAGAGACTGAGGGCAGGTAGAGAAGAGGGCTGAGGAATGGGGTTTGGGAAATTGCAACATTCTGAAGTGAAGAAAGTGAAGAGGAAGCTGAAGAATATACTGAGAAAATATACAAATAAACCTCTACTCCTTTCAGTTACAGGTGTCAAATATTCTACTCTAGTGACAGGAAGATGACTAATACAAATCCTTTTTGTCAGGATCTGTTTCACAGGCTTCCTGTGGCTCCTAGCTCCAGAAAATTCTTGGGTGTTAGGAACAGATTGATTCTCTCCATGTTATAAAGAGCTTCTTTTTCCTTTTACAGTGGATATATGTATATTTGCAAGAAAAGAAATCTTTTTAAGTCCTGAGCAACATGTGGTTTCGCTCAGCTCCAGAAGCAGGTATTGCATGGATAATTTGAATCCATTTAAGAGTCTTGGAGAGGTCCTTACATTTTGGGAGGAGGAAAAGAGAACAAATCTTTCCAGAATCTGTGGATCCAAAATTAACAGAAACTCTTTGAGGCAAAAGGTTCATACACATCATAGGTTTTACATCATAGGTTTTGAAGAGCTCACAGACCCCCTGAACTTTTACCCATCACAGGTTAAGACTAATGAGATACAGTGAGCAGATGACAGATCTGAGAAACACCAGACCAGCAGAGGGGTTAGTATTACCACATTCATGTACCTGTCCTGGGGATTGAACCCAGAGCCTTCACACTAAGCTACATCCCACCTCTTTTTAATTTTTTATTTTGAGGTAAATTCTCACTAAGTTGAGCAGGCTGGTCTGCAATTTGTGATCCTCCTGCCTCAGTCTCCCAGAGTGCTGGGATTATAAGTCTGCACCACCATACATGGCCTGAATTTGAAATTGATTTAGCTAGTTAGCTGTATATAAGACCAGTCATGAGATACCCTGGACCTGTGCTGTCTCATTTTTAATATAGAGATGACAACTGCATTAATATCAGAGCACCATGGAAACATGTGAGTATGTAAATAAAGTTTTAGGGCTGGCACGTGTCAGAACAGGAATTGAGTAAATGTGCCTGCCATTGTTATGGGCTGCTATTATTATTCAGTACTGCATTTCATGGACACTGACAATAATACAGCTGCCAAACCAGCAAACAGGGTCAAGAAGCCACATGTTCCCCTAGCTTTCCACCACTCCCATCCCAGCACACCAATCAATACCACCGTCCTAAAAATAGAGAGGCTGTCAAGGAAAATTCTTAAATTCTTACCCCAAAAGCTTGATCAAGGAAAGCTCTTTCATTAAAAGCAAAAATTGCCGGACTGATATCCAGGGCACTCATCTCCATGGTGGCTGTGAAGATGGATGAACTGCTGGCTACTTGACCGTTGCTGAAAAACACAGCAACTCTCCTCACGTTGGCTCCTGTATACGTCCGCTTGAAAACATTGCGGGCTACGAACCTTAGTGCATTACCAATGTCTCGGGCACCGGTGGGGATTTGGTATTCTATTTGCGAAAGAAGCTGGAGAAGTTGCTTCTTGCTATGGTAGTCAGATGAACGGATGAGATAGTTGGTGTCTGAGTTGTAGGAGACCACAACAACTCTCGCTCCCACAGGACAATTATTTTCCCTGATGTGAAGGTCCTCGACAATGGAAGTGATGATTTCTCTTGTTTCATTAAATCTCCATTCAGTGACACCAGAGGATTGGTCCAGGGCAAAAACCAGCTCTGTTGGGTATACTGGACACTTTTCTACAAAAATGAGAAGCAGACGTATTAATTATCTCACTGGATCAAAGCCTTTCCCATAGCCTTGGTTCACCCAAGATGAAGCAAGGCTTTCATCTAGCTCTAGAAAGAGTAGTCACATGTGAAAGAAGGGAAGGAATTTACTTTGTAAACGTGAAGATGTTATACACATGTCATACATTATCTGACTATATATTGCTCATACTTCAAAGTCTACTATCTGTTTATTTATTTTTGTTTTTGTTTTTGTTTTTGTTTGTACCGGAGATGGAACTCAGGTCCTTGCACTTGTAAGGCAGGTGGCAGAACCACTGAGTTAAATCCCCAGCCCCACTATCAGTCTATTTAATAGGATATTGAGGAGATTCTAGGAACTGTTTCTATGTTCTGATTTGGGTGATAGTGACATGAATCTATGTATAGTTAAAAGTAGGCACACACCCAGAAAATGAATTTTATGGATTGCATATTTGAAAAATTGATAAAAGGAAATTATAGTTTGTTGGGGATTTAAAAATCTCTCCTAAAAAAACTTAAATGACCTATGAATGAAAAAGTCATTTTGCAAATTTGCATCCATTTATGTAACAAATGTCTGTTGTGTTCCACCATTCAAAATGCATTGTGACCTCAGTCCACTGTGGAACACAATACAGATGAACCACATGTCCCTCAAGGAACTTGGATGGGAAAAGGTCATTGTATTAAAAAGTGCAGAGCAATTATTCTTCTTAATGAGGACTCAGAGCACAAAGGAGCTGTTTCCAAAAAGGGGATATCTCAGAGGCTTCAGCAAAGCTGGCCTTTGAAGGCCTGTTTGTCAGGAGGATGGGAGCAGCTTAAACCACAGAAGGTTTACAATGAGCCATTATAAAAGTAGTACTGTCTGAAATTCACAATGCACAGATAATCTTAGGATGACTGCCCTTGAAGAATTCCATAGGGAATCCTCCCTATGTATAAAAGCTAGTGTTAGGGGCCGGGGATTTAGCTCAGTGGTTCCGGTACCTGCCTCGCAAGTGCAAGGACCTAAATTCAATCTCCAGTAACAAAAAAAAAGAGGAGGAAGAAGAAGAAGAAGAAGAAGAAGAAGAAGAAGAAGAAGAAGAAGAAGAAGAAGAAGAAGAAGAAGAAGAAGAAGAAGAAGAAGAAGAAGAAGAAGAAGAAAGAAAGAAATTAGCAAAAAGCTAGTTGTTCAGTGTCCTTTTAAAAATATGAACACAGAAGAGAAAAAAGTTTTTTCAAAAGTAAATATATTTATCTACTTAGGCTATTTCCCAATCTGGCTAACTCCCAAAGCATGTTAAACTCAAAACCTCCCTTATTCCAACCACTAGTTTCAATAATATAAGTAGGAAAGTATTAACTTAAAGATATGTTTTGAATCAAAGAACTTTACGTGGAGAAATTTTTAAATATGAAAGCTGAAAATGAACACTAGAATAAGAAAATGAAAGTAGTCCTAATTTCTTAGCTCTATCCTAAAAATTCTTGACAGCGTGGTTGAAAAGCATCTCTAAAACTATCCTATCATCACAGCTTCTCCTAGAGAAAGGAACAGATTTCTAATTGCTTTTATTCTCTCCCTCACCCAGTGCCTACTAGGGCATCTGATATATTTAATCCAAGTCCATGACATTTAACTGAGAACTTACCTTTTCTGTTTTTCAGATTTAAAGTGAATGGCTCCAGACTTTGGCACAAACTCTAAAACTCTGAAGTTCTACTTCAGCAGGCCTGCAGGAGATCAGGAGGTCTTGCAGTGACATTGCTGGTTTAATTGGCCACATCAGCCACGTCACCCACAGGATCTGAGGATCATGCAGTCCAGACCCTGACAGGACAGTCCACAGAGAGGGAAATGCTTACAACTGGTGAGAACTGGGTAAGTGACAGGTGCAAATGTGGGTCAGGGGCGGAAAGGTATACCACACCTCCAAGAAGCCAGTGTCAGTGAGGAGAGGAGCAGACAGAGAAGTGCTGTATGATCAGTTGAAGCCCTGTTCCCCTGTCCCCCAGCAATGCAGCTACTGCGTTGTAAACTACATCAGGATCTAGAAAGGACTGTAATGTGGAAGGGCTTGGTCCAGGAGGCGTCCTAGTTATAATCAAAAGACTGACAAGTCTGCGTGGAAGAAAGAAGTCCTTTTTCAAATGGGGTACAGGTTTCTTTCAAATCGGTCTGATCAAAGCACAATCATTATTTCAGCAAGAACAATATGGTAAGAACACTCACCCTTCCAACAAGCTATAAAAAAGAGAGAAATAGAGAAGAATCTGTTACATTTTTGGAATACAAACCAAAAAATAATTCCAAAAAACAATATTTATACAAAGCTTAGGCTTTATTTGACTTTAATTGAAAACAAGGTTAAAGGGTTGAGGAAGATTCCCATAGAGTTTTATTAATTTGTAAACCTTCCTGACCTTGTGAGTCAGCAAGTTTCAGCAGAATTTTGGTGGAAGCTGAAACACTGATCACTTGTCTTAGAAATGCAACAGCTGAGGCACTGATTAAATGGCAAGGTAACTGATATGCAATTTGTTTTCTCTCCCTTTAGAGTCTTCTGAGAGTCAGTCAGCAATGCAATGTAAAATATGGGTCTTATTTTTCTCCCTGATGAATATCTCGGGAACTTCTATTTTCCTGTACAACCACAGAGGGATTTTCAAATGAACTTTGTCTCTGCTTAAAAATACAGCTCCTCTGAGTCATTTTCATATCCAGAGAGAAGAAGGAAAAAAAATCCCAAGGGCTTCTCTGAGAAAAACACATCTGGTCTCTCTGATTGATTTAGTCTGTAAACCTGAGATTCTTCAGGATGAGTGCTGGTAAATCTTTAAGAAACCGCAGGCCTGACAATTTCCATGTTTATTTTATTTACTTCCTACGAAGCCAATGAGTCACTCCAATCTAATAAAAGAATTTCTTAACTTTGGTGACAAAAAGCTCTTCTGTCCTGCTGTCCTGGCACATGCTTCCTGCACAGCAGCCCTGCTAACAGCTTGTGTCTATCTACTCCTGTGGCCACTGAGACGCTGACACCACATATGCCCCACAGCCTCCTCTGTGTCTCAACACTCAGCACAAGTCTCATGCAGCTTACTGAGAACTTCAGATGCAACTGTGGGGCTGTACAGCTAGGATCTAGATGCACATGTGGGTTCAGATCTACCAAAGCTGGGTAACCTTTGGGGAACTTGTTTCACCTCTTTTTGTGTGTTTCTTTTATTTACTTATATTTCCTAAGTATTCTACTTGTGTCTCCCTTTAAAATGTCAGTCATTTGGTCCTTCCTGTTTTATCTTCAAACACTTTCTTTCTCTTTCTTTTCCCTTGGACACCTAGACTGATTTTATTCTCCATGGAGGGTCCTAGCTACTAGCTCAGGACCAAGCTCTCACCTCCTGGGTGAGAGACTTGACGCAGGTATGGAAAGTACCTGCATTAGACCAGGGATGTTAGACCAGGGATACAACCTCAAGGGACATTGATGACATCATTTATAGAGTCCCAAAGTCTTGTCACTCCATGTCTGGTCTCCATTCTGTATTTTGAAGTTCGGTCCCAGTCTCACCAGCAATGTGCATGGTTACAGAACCCACCCACTCTTGCTCAACCATCTGATTACCAGATAACTCATTTGATCCAATGTTGTTGGAAAACTTTTCCCTTCAAAACTCAAACTCTCTAATGATTGGTATTCACCTCTCCATTCTTGGAAAGTCATCATTGAATTTCACTGAGAAGACTGGTACTGCCCTCAGGGGCTTGATTACCACTCTCTTCCCTACCATGGCTCTTCCTTTATTTTCTCCGTGTGGCCTTGGTTCCAGACTCTCATCTCCTTTCCTGGGCTAGTGTCACTTACACTGCCCCTCCCTCGGGATCTCCTCTCCACTGGCTTCCCTCTTCCTGATTTGGAAGCTGCCCACATGTGGCAGGAATTCCTATTTCTGCAATGCCATTTTTCTGTCCCTTGGGCCCACTCTTTTAGCCAAGACAGCTTCCTACATTCACCTCTTAGTTTCTGACTCCCTAGATCACAGCCTTGGAAACCTCATCATTGCTGGTTTTAAGCATCACCAGCTCTTGAGTGACTTTAGCATCTAAGTAATAACCAATTAACCCTAAACACCCACATTCACCCATTCAGTACCATGCTCTCTCAGTCCTTTGGCACAGTTGTCATATTAATAATGCAAGCTGATTCGCATACTTTTGAGTTGGCCTAATTATTTCTTATACATGTTCTCTCTTCCTGCATACATCCCCCTTGTGAGCTGAGACACTTTCTTTTCCTCCCACCTTTGATGTGAGAGGCACTCAAAAAAATTCTGTTACCAATATTTTTCCAACTAGCAACCTTGGCCTTCTGATCCCATAGATCCAGCTATACTCAGTCCCTCCCCAACCATCAATGCTCTTGTTCCATGACTCATACATACTCGCAAGTATAGTTCCACATGAACTGGATCAGATCACATTGCTATAAATGGAGAGAGAAGGAGGACACACAGAAACAGAGAGAGAGAGAGAGAGAGAATATGAGTACAGTGATCTCCCAGTAGTTATGTTTATTTCCCAGATAGAGGGTTGGAGTTTTTTTCCATGAATAAGGAGATACATACAGAAAACACAGGCTGCCCTGCCACGCCTTTAGGGCCCTAGGGAAACAAAAACAGAACAAATTGTTTGTAAACTGAAGTCATTAGTTATAAAATTTGTAAATAGGGAAGGGGAGGAGGGGGTGAAGGGAGGGCAGGGATAAGGGGAAAAAATGAGAGCCAAGACCTGTCATGTAAAGGTACAAGATCCCAATGATGAATGTAACTGTACTGTATACCTAAAATGTACCAATAAACTCAATGAGAAAAATAAATAAATAAAAAATAAAATAGCATTGGAAATTTTAAAAAATAATAAAATAAGAGAAACAAACAAAACCACCTTTTTTCTTAAAAGCACAGTTTGCAGCCAGCAGTCACTAACCCAAGTGGGTTAATTACAATGCACTTTCCTCACTTGCACCAAGTGTGCAAATTGAGCAATAGATCAAGTAAACTAACATCCATCCAAATGAACTGAATGATTTCTCTTTGTAGGGTGGCAAGAGGTAAAGAAATAAGAGTATTTCTTACAGATAATTTTATTAAATATGCAATACTTAGAAGAAAGCATTTTTAAGAAGAAGGCTTAAAAGTATAAACAGCAGATTCTCTAAAGGGCCATGCTAAGGACAGAGATTTCACTGAGAATTCATGGATATGGTTATATTGTAAATCAAGGAGTTTAAAATTCAGGAGATGATATCCTCAACAAATATGAAAGAACCAAGGACTACTGATAGCAAAATGGACATAACTCAAAAGAAGTGCATACATGTTATACTCATAAGTGCCAAGAGGTTATGGAGGAAAGAAATACAAATAATTGGGTGAGGTGAATCAGGGAAGGCTCCTTGAAAAAAGACAGTCCTGCTACCCATCAGCTTGAGCTTTTCTCTTTTTTCCCCCCTGTTAAGTTTATTGGTACATTTAAAGCAAATAATACAGATACATTTATTATTGGGATCTTGTACCTTTACTTGATATATCTTGGTTCTTATTTTTTCCCATAACCCTGCCCTCCCTTCACCCCCTTGACCCTTCCCTATTTATGAAGACTTTGTATTTTTTCCTTTTTTCACATTTTTTCTTTTCCCTTATTTCCTTTCCCCTCCCTTTTCCATGAGCTTTTCTCTTTTAAGTTTTGCATCCTTTTATCAGAATCAAGTAGTGGTTCTTAACATATTTTCACACATGAATCCTTTTGGACAGCTAATATATGACAATATCATCATTTTGAAGCAGGACTTAAAAAGAAGGAAAAACAAGTTTCTCCAAACTAAGCCATTCCCCCTTAGACTTCTCCCTCTCTATGGCTGTTGTTCTTTGTTCTATCACAATTAAAATTAGTAACTGTCCCTGTAAGTAAGGTTTCATAACCTCCTCTTCTCATAAGATCCTGTTTGTACCAGACCAAGGCCACCAAGATATGCTCAGTTACAGAACTATCACAGCTTGACTAATTGCCTGTGTTCTGCTCTGTCCACAAGCTTCATGTCCCTAGGTAGAACAACCCTCTCCACATGTGTATAAAACTAGAGCTGTTCCTTTGTTCTGGGCTCAACCTTTGGAAACAAGTCCACCGAGCTGGTGCACACCTAAATAAATCATCCTGTTTTACCCCTCATTCTCTCCAATCCCTTAAATTCTGCAACAATTCCAGAAAAAAATGCTATTATAGGCTCACACTTATATAATTTTATTTCCTATCTCCTACACCCCTTCAAAAGTTCAACTGGGAAGGTCAGCATAAGAATTTCTGTTCTACATAATAACTTGGTCACCTGTCCATCCACCAGTTAGCCATCCAAAAGACAGAGCTAAATGCCAGCTGTGCTGTTGGTGTTAACCAGAACCATGTGTTATCCATGATTCTAGTCTCCAAAGTATGTTGTCTTTCTGCTCCATATCACTAAAAGTTACCAGTCTTAGCCTTCTTCTTCCAATTTATGGCAAAAAAAAAAAAACACAGAAAAGGATGAACAGCCACTGAAGCAGAATGAAGAATTAGAGTAAGCAGCCCATAATTTATAAAACTGTGAACAGTATTGCTCAAAAGAATGAGTTTAAAAATAACCTTGAGCAAGTTCTTAAGCAAAGGCTTACAATCACAGGTCTGAAATAAAGATGCCACGTTCCAGTCCAGTCCAGTGGGTTCAAGCAGAAGAGCAGAAAATTATAAAATCCCCCAAATGATGGCCCCTGAATCTGGCAAGAAGAAGAAGACAGAGGCAGACCAGACTTCCCTAGAGATTAGAGGCCCACCCACATGATTAAGATCATTCACACATTTCTTGATGCAAAAGAAAGAAAAGATTATATCATATTTCCCCTAGTTAGTTGATTCTCTTTCTAATATTCAGTCTAGCACAAAGTGATTCACATTTTTCCTTTATAAAGTCTTAAGTTCAAGAACTTCTTAATGCATAAAACAAGATAAGCATCTTACCCACTCCTTATACAGTACTTCCTGAGCTACTCCACAAAACACAGGCCCTGATGACATTTAGTTATCCTCGGGCTGTGCTTGTGAGGAGAGACAGATGTGTAACAAAATCATTCCAACCTCGTGAGACACTAAATAGAGGTAAAGAAATTTTTCTGTGGGAGATGTATTTCACTCTGCCTGGGAATGCTTTCAGAGGTGACATTTCTCTCATAATGGAATCAGAGCAGAAAGTGAGGCTATATTTCCAGATCTCTCTAGACTCTAATTCTGGGGACAGGAAGGCAACAATAGTGGTTTTGGCAAATTCTACCAACCTGTCTCACATGATAGAACTTTACCAGGACAACTTTGTGAAGCTTATTCAATCCCATCCCTACATCAAAGACTTCAGTAATAAATCACAAAACAGCAAATATTGGCCTTGCACTCTGGTTTACCTGCTCCTCACAGCTACCTTTTAAGGTGACAAAATGAGTATATGTCATACTCATTTTATAAATAAATAGAGACCCATTGGCTGTTCCAAGGATGTGCAGCTAGTAAGAAGCAAAATCTGGACTTGAATCCAGCATTTCTGATTTAAATCCTATGCCCTTTCCATAAAATCAGCCTACACACTACTTAGTTCTCAGAAGTTTACTCATTGTCCGGCCAGGAGGGCCTTGCAATCCATGATGTCCCCTTTCACCTGTCAAGCCTACAGTGAGCTGCAGATAGGAATATACATTAGTTTCAACATTTCTATCAATGAAGACTTACATGATTTTAATGAGACTTTATAATTTTTTAAATTTGTTTTTAAGAGAGAGCAGCTATTAAATGAAGTCAGGTAAATTGCTTATCTGTAGAATAAGCCACCCATTCTTAAGCATTGTTAAACATCCATTTCCTTCTTAGCCCCTTCATTTAGTAACATACTTGGTTCTAGCACTGGATGTGTATTTAAATCCAAATTAATCATAAGCTGGGATTGGTGCTAATACAAAAAGCAAATATACTAGGGTCCACAGGGATCTAACAAATAAAACTCTCATCTGTAAATGATAAAATAAGTAAAATGAGCCCTCACACACGTAACAGTACATGAATGGGCTGTGTCCATTCAGAGTGATGGCTGTAGAGGCTAGGGAAATGTATCCTCCCCAGTGGAAAATGTCTATTGAATTGTATCTCTTCCAAACTGAGGATGACCACTAATATTACACTCATATTTTGGGGGTTTTTTTTCCTCATTGAGTTTATTGGTACATTTTAGGTATACAGTGCAGTTACATTCATTACTGGGATCTTGTACCTTTACATGACAGGTCTTGGTTCTCATTTTTTCCCCTTATCCCTTACCACTCCCTTCACCCCTCCTCCCCTCCCCCTTTACAAATACTTCATTTCCATTTTTTCATTTTCTCATATTTTTTCTTTCCCCTTATTACCTTTCCCCTACCCTTCCCACTTTCCCTACACCTTTAGCCCCCTTCTTCCTATTTCACATTGTCCATTATATCATTAAGATGTTATGTACTATTATAGTTTATTCACACCAGAGAAACTATTCGGTATTTACAAATGTATGATTTATTTATTTCACTTAGGAGTATATCTTCAATATGTATCCATTTTCCTATGAATGACTCTAATTTCTCATTCTTTATGGATGAGTAATATTCCATTTTATAGAAAAACCACATCTTCTTTATCCAGTTTCCAACGGATGGGCAAATGGGCTGTTTCTAAGTTTTAGCTATTACAAACTGTGCCGCTATAAACATAGGTGTGCATATATCTCTGTGATATGATTCTTTTAATTCTTTTGAAAAGATACCCAGCAAAGGGATGGCTGGGTCAAATGGAACCTCTAGTCCCAGCTCTTTGAGGTATTGCCATGTTAATTTTCACAGTGGTTTCACCAGTCTGCACTCCCACCAACAATGGAGAAGGGTTTCTTTCTCCCCACAACCCCACCAACATTTGTTATTGTGTGATTTCTTGATAGCAACCATTCTTTGTGGGGTGAGGTGGAATCTCAGTGTTGTTTTCATCTGAATCTCTTGAATGACCAGTGATTTGGAACACTTTTTCATATATTTACTTGCTGCTCTTACTTCTTTGTGTGAGAAATGTCTGTGCATTTCAGATGTCCATTTTTTAATTGGGTCTTTATATTTGGGGGGGCTGATTGTTTTGAGTTCTTTATATATTCTAGATAAGAGCCCTTTGTCTGAGGAGCACCTGGTAAAAATTTTTTCCCATATTGTAAGTTGTCTCTTAGTTTTGTTGATGGTTTCTTTTGCAGTGCAGAAGCTTTTTAATAAGATGAGATCCCAGTTGTTGATCCTTTCTGCTAGTTCCCGTGCTACTGAGGATTTGTTCATAAAATCTTTTGCTATGCCAATGTCTTCAAGAGTTCTGCCTATCTTCCAGCAAGTTCAGTGTTTCTTTTTTAATATTTAGATCTTTAATCCACTTGTACTTTAATTAGTGCATGGTGAAAGATAAGGGTCCAGCTTTAATCTTTGGCAGGTAGAGATCCAGTTTTTCCAACACCATTTATTAAAGAGGCTATCTTTCCTCCACTGAGAATAGTCAGCTCCTTTGTCAAAGATGAGGTAGCTAATTACATCTGAATTTGGTTTTGTGTCTTCTTATCTGTTCCACTGATCCTCAGGTCTGTTTCTTTGCCAGTACCATGCTGTTTTTATCACAGTGGCTTTGTAATATAGTTTCAAATTGGGAATTGTTATACCCGCTACCATGTCTCCGTTGCCTAGGATAGCTTTTACTATTCTAGGTCTCTTATGGTTCCAAATGAATTTTTGGATTCTTTTTTTCTAGTTCTGTGAAATATAGTGTTGGAATTTCAATTGGCATTGCATTGAATCTGTATAGCAGTTTTGGTAGTATGGTCATTTTCATATGTTGATTCTCCCTACCCAGGAGCAGGGCATATCTTTCCATTTTCTTATATCCTCTTTGATCTCTTTTTTCAGAGTGCTGTAATTTTCAGTGTAGAAGTCTTTTGCTTCTTTTGTTAGATTGATTCCTAGACACTTCATTTTTTGGATGCTATTGTGAAAGGAATTTTCCCTTATTTCTCTCTCAGTGAGTCTCTTATTTGTTGCACTCAAATTTTAAATTGAAAGGATGTTTGGCTCTGCATTTGGAACTTAAGTAAACATAATGTTCTACCCTATGCTTTGCTAATTAGAAGATTTTGACATCCTCCCTTAAAATGAATGCCCCCTATGACTTTCTCATGACTAGTAGAATCATGGAAAGTCCTTCAGGACACAGAGGGATGGGGTCAACTTCATTTCCATTCACAGGGTTGATACTGTTGGATTACATGTGCCTTAGAATAGACTAGAAGACATTGATACATTGAAACAGCCAGCCATTAATTTGTAAATCTTTAAAGTAGTTCAAATTTATGAAACCATAGACGTTTAGAGCTGGAAGTGACTTTAGATGTCACTAAGTTCAATTCTTATGTTATAGAAATACAGATCCTAAAAAAGGTATGTTGAAGGACAAATAGCTAGCTAGTGGCATTTTGGATGCCCTTGAAGGTGGATTAATAATCCACATTCATTGTTACAACATGGAAGCCAGATTGTGCAGAAGAAACATTTATTATGCCTTGAATAACAGGTCACTTACTGTTATTCCCTTAAATCCTTTGGGTCCAAGCTCTCCAGGAATTCCAGGACTGCCAACTTCACCCTGAGCATTCCAAATGTTAAATTATATTCTATAATGTAATAAAAATTTTTCTCTGAACCAAAACTTAATTGACCTTGTAATTATATCATATATGAAAAAAAGCCAATACAACATTAAATGATATCTTGACCTGTCATCTGGAACTAAATCATTGGTATACTTATTCTCTAAACTTTTTAATATCTTAATAATACAAATATTTATACATTACTATCAACTCAATGACCACTTAAGTCACTAAAAACATCCAAAGAAAATATTTAAAGGCCAGGAAAAACATATGGAGTATTAACTACATAAAACACCAAATACTGAATTACTTCCTACATTCATGAATCATTTCTGAAAAAGCTGAAGATAAAAGATTTTTACTCTGTGGTGGGAAGCCAATTGTGTTATTTATCAATATATTTGTTTCACATTTATCAGTAAGTTGAAATATGCTGTTTCTGTATTTTCAGTAAATTAGAAAATCAATCCTCTATAATAAGAACTCTTATCCTACCCAATACTTTGAATACAGCACTTTCTTGTACACTTTTCTGTCTAAGGAGAATCTGTATTGGTAGTTCATTAGTTTTAAAACATATTTAAAAGGTTTCAACTATTTGGCTTTTTCCCATAGCTGATTTAATTCGATTTTCAACTCATATTTTGCATTTTATTTGAGCATCAACTATGTGGCAGATACCATTCCAAATACTTTTTTTAAAGCAAATCTTAATATGAATCCCAGGGCATGCAGATATACCATGAACTACTTTAGTGGAAATAGAAGGCATGTCTGGTTCTATAGCATGGAGGTGGATTTCAGTCTAGCAAGAGTGAGGCATTCTGGAAGAGATTTGATTAAGAAAGCAGCATGATGAGACTCTGCTTTGGAAAAATCTGATGACAGTAGTGTTTGGGATTAACAGGAGCAGGGAAAAGATAGAAGTGACAAAAGTGTCATAATCTTTCAGGTAAGAATAAACAAAGCCACAATAATAAAGAATGAATAGCAATAACTAACTATTTATGAGCTTACCAATATAAAGAAACCAAGAATAGAACAGAGACAAAGTGGAGAGGACTCGTACAGTTAATGCATCACACATCTAATATGAAAATTCACAGGGGTGAGTGTGTCCCTTCCTCATGAAGCACAGGAAAAAAGTTTCCCTGATCCCCCTGCCCCGCTTCTATTATATTTAGAACTACAGGCTTTTCTCAGTTCTCCAGATAGAGGTTAAGATCACGGTAAGGACAAAAGTTTGTGTGTACAATACCTTCTGCCCCCTATCTCCAGGGAATCCTCTTGGACCCTATAATTTTCATCAGAGAACATAAATGAATCAATATACCATGTCCTGAGTATGATCATATTATTTAGGTTTTATTTGGCAATCAAAAAATGTTTTCCATATTTACCTGTACTCCTTTTTGTCCTCTATGACCATAGCCTGGGCTGCCATAATCTCCCTGTAAACATACCAACTAATTTAAATGTCTCAAAAGTGAAAATTTATTGTAGTCTATATTAAGGAAGTGATAGTATCAGGAGAGAAATGCTGTGGAATTCCAGGTGAAAGGGGCCTACTCAGAGACCTTGAACCCCAGAAATGCGTGTGGCTTGATTTTCATTTCTTCCTGATATATGCCCTGCTATGCTAGACCGCATATAGAGGGCCTACGACGTGGATAGTGAAAGATTTTACACAGATCAGAAAAAGGAAAGATAAGAGTTTATTCAGATCCATGTACACTTTAAAGAGAGACTGCAGGCAAATTTCCAAGAGTAGAATCTCACCATTAGGGTGAAAGATTGGAGTTTTCATAAGTGTTTGGGGACATAGGAAAAGAGTCTAGGCAGCAAATTTAGATATTTCAGGAATGCTTTTTTGGGTCACCTGGTTCCTGCTGGTCTTTTAGGGACACCTATATTGTATCTCAAGGTTTACATTCAAGATGCAAATTAACAAGGCCATTTACTCAGATCCCATAGAAGCCCCTCTAGTTTCAAATTAGGCAATCTATACACATGAACTACGTGAGGGAAGATGAGTCAGGGCTTATTGGGAGGAATATATAACTCTTATGTGTATTTTATCTTATATTTATGTTTTTAGTCAGTGTTAGTGCAGTACCCTATGACTATCCAGTATGCATTGGGCAGGTTTGTGTCAGCAGAGAAATTTTGCTGGCATGAGTTTCAACTCTCTGTCACCACATGCTGTGGTACTTTAGTGAGCTCTACTTGGCAGCCACAGCAGGACACAGAGAGGAATGTTGTCCAGAACTTGCGAAATCAGTAGTAGTTTCCTGCATGGAAAAGTAGGAGCTGGCCCAAAGAATATGTTAAGGAGCTCCCTAAAGAATTATAACCAATAAATATATAGGGGGAAATGTTCATCCTCACAAGTAACCAAAAAAATGCAATTTGGAACAATAACGAGATACTGCTGTCAAGGGTAAAGATGGGGGGGCAGTTTTAATATTCATTATTGGTATAGAAATCCTAAAACTGGCCCTCTCCTGCATATTACAAATGTTATTGTTTAAATTTTCCTAAGGCATCAAAATAAAGTTTATAGCCTTCAAAAAATATATGTGTGTGTGCCTAACTATGAAAATTCTAGAAATTTCTTTATTATGTATATATAGAGATTTTTTATTTTTTATTTTTATTATGGAGATATATATAT